TAGCTGGATCTCGAACTGGTGCCCATATGGGATGCTGGCACCGCAGGTGGCAGCTTTACCTGCTATGTCACAGCCAGCCCCTAGGGACCACCATTTTTAACATTGCATTTGTTTTCTGAAAGACTCTTGCAAGACTGGGTTTGCTGACCAGGCCAGCCTGTATTTATCGAAGTATCACAGAAGTTCAAAAAGTTCGTGGAAAACAGAATTAGAAGGTAAATATTTTGGTGCCCAAAATTTTGAAGTTGATGTAGACGAGGGATCTTTGAAAAGAAAACTGTTGACTTGCAAAGCTTTTTTTGCATGGAAACAAATTTATCTTTTCTTTTCCTTTATTTATTTGAGAAGCAGAGAGCAGGAGACGTACAGAGACAGAAAGAGAGACAGCTCCCGTCCGCTGGTTCATTACCCAAATGCCTGCAACAGCTGTGGCTGAGCCTGGAGCTGGTGTCAGCCGCCAGAAACCCAATGCAGGTCTCCCACATGAATGGGAGGAACCCAATGACTTGATCCGTTGCAGCTGCCTACAAGGATCTACACCAGCAGGAGGCTGAAATTGGGATGCAGGTGTTTGAACCACCAGGCCAAACGTGAAACCCTATCTTCATCTTATTTTTCCACAAACTTTCTGAAGTGCTCTCACAGATGCACCACGCGTCTACACAATGAAAACTGTTCGTATTTCTATCCTGTTTATTTTGCATCTCGATTCAGCTAAGAGACGAGGGTGAGCCAACCAAACGAGGTGCTGCCTAAGTGACACTGCCCCAGGGTTTGAGCACAACTCGGCACCTGTTTGCAATGAACAAACGGAATCCCAGAAATCATGAACTTGGCCAAGGCTAAAGGAGAGCTGAAAGAAGACTTGTGGTTCAATGGGTATAGTGTTTCAGTTTTGCAAGACTGAAAAGTTCCAGAAATCTGTTGCACAACAAGGTACTCACAGTTCACGATGCATGTTGTACGCTTAAGCTTAAGACGATCAATTTCATGCTGCAGGTTTTTATTTTTACCATGATTAACAACAAGAGAAATACAATTTACTTTTTTAAATTAAAAAAAAAATTGCATCCTTGACTCCACGCCCTATACACAGCTACGGCTACTGCAGATTGTGTTCATTTAACGAAATTTACTCTCCCCAAAAGGCCGAGGGAGAGCTAGACGGGGTGACTACTACATTTTACCATCTGCTTTAAAAGGGAAGCAGACCAGATGCAAGCATTTGGTGTTGGGACACCCGCATCCCACATCACAGTGGCTGGGTTGGGGTCCTGGCTCCATTCCCACGTCCAGCTCCCTGCAAATGTGCATTCTGGGAGACAGCAGGTGATGGCTCAAGCAGCTGAGCCCCTGCCACCCACACGGCAGACCTGGATTGAGTTCCTGGTCCCCAGCTTGGGCCTGCTCCGGCCCCGGCCATTGCAGGCATTTGGGGAACAAACCATTGGATGGGAACACACACACTCTCTCTCTCTCTCTCTCCATCTCCCCTTCTCAAGTAACTAACAGAAAATATTTTAAATATTCCAAAATAGTTAATCATCTGTTCCAAGATTATTAACTCAGAGGACTCAGACAAACGGCCACTATTACAGCTACGGTGACTTTCTGACGAAGCCTTACTTTCTACTTTCTCCTGAAGCATCATTGTAGCTTAGCATTCTCAAGAGAGGAGGAGGCAGAGCCCAATTCTGAGATCTGAAGCTGTTGTGAAAGCTGTTAGAACTTATAACAGCAGCCGGCACTGCAGCATAGTGGGTAAAGCCACCACCTGCAGCACCAGCACCCCATATGGGCACCGGTTCGTGTCCCGGCTGCTCCACTTCCGATCCAGCTCCCTACCAATGTCCTAAGAAAAGCAGCAGAAAATGGCCCAAGCACTTGGGCCCCTGCACCCACATGAGAGACCTAAAGACTCCTGGCCCAGCCCTGGCCATTGCAGCCACCTGGAGATTTGAACTAGCAGAGGGAAGACCTCTCTCTCTGTAACTCTTGCAAATAAAAAAAATTAATAAAAAAAAAAAAGAAGAACTTCTAACAATGATTTTCTCAAAGGCAAGGGTGGAGTGCACCTCTGAGACAGGCTTAGTATTGTGAGTCATCCTTAAAAGTTTTAAAGACTTCATCATGGTGATGGCAATGTATGCCAAGAGGGCCAGGCTTTTGGGATCTGGAGACGGGGAGAGGCGACAGTGGAGTTGCAGCAGGTGCAAGGAGCAGCCAAGAGCTGATGCTCCAGTTTGAGTGTGGAGGCAGGAGGAGTCCTCTCTTACTCAGAGCAGGGATGGTCTCTGAGTTCTGCTCAGGCCTCCCACTGCTCCGACAGGGCCCCTCACACTGTGGGGAGGGGTCCTGCTTCCCTCCGCCAACCAGGGTAACGTCCATCTGTCCCGAAACACCCAGAATAATGTTTGACCACACGTCTCGGCAGCTGGGGCCCGGGGCAAGGTGATACACAACAGTGACCACAACAACGCGCCACCTCACCCCATTCCAGGCAGGGGAGGGGGCAAGGACAGTCGGCTCACGGTGGGAGGGGAGGTGGGGGTGGAATTCGTGAGCAGCAAGGAACAGGATGTGTCTAGCCCTGAGTGGAAGACGAGGGGCTCCCAGTCCCCACTGCTGCTCACCCCCATCTCACGGCCGCCCCTGGAGAGCTCACTCAAGGTCTACTCAGGGTAGGGAGAGCTGTGTGCCTGCGTGCACCTGTCAGGATGCCTACATCCCTGAAACACCACCAACAGTGTCAAGTGCTGGTGGAGCCACCAGAACGCTCACCCCTTGCTGAGACGACCCATTTGGAAAACAGCTTGCTGGCTTCTTAGAATGACCCGGCAGCTCCACTGCCAGGTACTTACCCAAGAGAAATGAAAGCCACATTCACGTACAAGCCTGTATGCGGATGCTGGTGACCAAATACTAGATAGAACCACCCAAGTGCCCTTGACTGGGCGAATGGGTAAACAGAACACTACTCAGCAACAAAAAAGGAATAAACCGTTCACGCCCGAATCTCAACGGCATTCTACAACGTGAAGGAAGCCAGTCTCAAAAGGGCCTGTGCCACGTGATTCTACTGAGCTGATGTTGTTGGAAAGACATGCTTTATAAACGACAGTGACGAAGATGGCCCAGGGGGTGCCGGAAGCCAGGGGCTGGAGGGGGGCGAGAGTCGGTGTGAGGGACAGTGTGGGGTTACCGGATGACTGTGGAGTCAGGGAATTGTTGTGCATTTTAATCTGGGCGGGGTTAGGTGGTCTGCATGGGTTAACTAGCATGAATGACACGGGTTTCCTACAGCACCGCATTTGCGATACGAGAAAACATTTGCAACTACAATGGCGAATAACTGAATGCCACCCAACGGATGCACAGAGGAAATGTGCCCAATGTGGAACACTGGTGAACTAGGAGGCAGGCAAGAGAGGTTGAGGAGCCGGTGCGGTGGCATAGTGGGTAAAGATGCAGCCTGCAGTGCCGACATTCCATATGGGTGCTGGTTCGAGTCCCAGCTGCTCCACTTCCAATCCAGCTCCTTGCTATGGCCTGGGAAAGCAGTAGAAAATGGCCCAAGTCCTTGGGCCCCTGCACCCACGTGAGAGACCTGGAAAAAGCTCCAGCCTGCTGGTTTGGGGTCGGCGCAGCTCTGGCTGTTGTTGCGGCCAACTGGGGAGTGAACCAGCGGATGGAAAACCTCTCTCTCTGCCTCTCCTTCTCTCTCTGTGGAACTCTGACTTTCAAATAAATAAATAAATCTTTAAAAAGAGAGAGAGAGGTTGAATCCAGAAGATACACAAGCAGGCGGCCACGGGAGGGCCAGGGCATCCCAAGCACCCTTTTCATATTTTTGTGTGGAAAGATAAGGGATCGTCTCCAGCCACTGGACACAACTGGGAATCTGAAAAGCAAACAGGGGGGACTTGCGATGCTGCTTTTGTCCAGGACTTTGTACTCACGGGCCCCTAGGACAAAGCCTAACGGGAGAAAATTTAGGCTGACAGAGGACTTGCTCTATCCGACTTCATTTCTATCCGACTGGGTTTCCCAGTCCTCACCCAAATCCCAGGGACAAGAGGAGAAGCCATGGGCACCGCAGGTGCCTCTGCCCGGCCGGCCAAGGCCCGGTCACTGCCGGGCAGCACCCAGGGGCATGGCCGGCTGCTCTGGGAACTTCCTCTCACCTCCTTCTCCCCGTCCCGTGGAGAGATCTGCACGGATCAGGGCCGCCAGAGGGCAGGAAGAGGCTCCAGGGAACGGATGGGTTCTGTCATCACCGAGAGCCATCCAGAACGGTGGCACGGAACATCCTCCTCCGTCCCGTTCACCCCTGGCCTTCTCAGGGTGCTCACACCCATCAGAGAGCCCAAGGTGAGCCCCGCTGCTGCACCCGGGCGGCTCTCCCTCCTCTCCCTCTCGCTAGCACTTGCTGCTCAACTGAGCCACCACTGGGAGCCCCAGGGCGGCACAGGCAGGAACCCGAGGCCAGGGAGGGATGGGAGAAGGGCCACAGAACTAACTACCACCAGTTTCCAGAATAACCAGCGACCACTTTGCAAACCAGCCCTAGACTCACAGCTGCAGGATGCTGGTTCCGTGTCACCCCGGTGTGTAATGACTGTTGGCAGCTCCCCCAGTGACACACACACAGTGTCTGAGATGGAAGAGGAGAGGGGACAAGGAGAGCACAGGAGGACAGGAGCGCTCGGGCATGAAGGACCTGTGTCTGAAGTGTCACGGGAAACTCGCAAGAGAGATGGACCAATGAAGACGGAACCCCAGCAGGCGGTGCGCTGTGAGATTCGGGGACCCACTGGGAGGAACCGCATGGACGCGGATGCTGCCCTCCAGGATGCAAGCAGAGAGCTGCAGCCAGGTCTCCAGTGGGGCAGCGCCCGGACGCTGGGGGCTGAGCTCGGCCGCTCCTCCCACTCCTCCTCCCTGCCCAGCCCAGCCTAGCCCAGCCCAGCCCAGCCCAGCCCAGCGCCGCCGGCACTCACAGCTCCAGGATGAGAATGACGTCCGTCTTGTTCTCGTACACCTCGTGCAGGGTGATGACGTTGGGGTGCTGGATCTCCGTCAGGATGCTGACCTCCCTCTCGATGTCCTCGCGGCTCACACCGCGCCGGCTGGACTTGGTCCTCCGCTTCTTGATGAACTTGGCGGCAAACTGCAGGCCGGTGCTCTTCTCGCGGCATTTCTTCACCACGGCAAACTGTCCGCTGAAATGAGAAGACAGGACGTTTCTTCAATGGGCACCAATGACCATGGCGCCGGGGGTTACGACAGGACTGTGCGCACCAAAGCGCAGATGGTGGAAAAGTAACAAATGCCAGAGAAATATTCTGGATTAATTTTCAGGTTTTTAAAAAATTTTATATATGGGACCGGTGCTGCAGTGCTGGCATCCCATACGGGTGCCAGTTTGAGTTCCAGCTGCTCCACTTCCCATCCAGCTCTCTGCTATGGCCTGGGAAAGCAGTAGAAGATGGCCCAAGTCCTTGGGCCCCTGCACCTGTGTGAGAGACCTGGAAGAAGCTCCTGGCTCCCAGGTTCAGATCGGCCCAGCTCCAGCTGTTATTGCCATTTAGGGAGTGAACCAGTGAGTGGAAGACATCTCTCTCTCTCTCTTTGTATCTCCCTCTCTCTGTCTATAACTCTGCCTCTCAAATAATACATAAATCTTAAAAAAAGTGTATTCACTTATCTGGAAAGCAGGAAGAGACACAGAGAGACCTACTATGGATAAGAGAAAGATCCACTGGTTCACTCCCCAAGTGCCTGTAACAACCAGGGCTGAGCAGGCCACAGCCAGGAGCTTGGAACTCAATGCATGTCTCCCATGTGGGTGCCAGGGACCCATTCATTGACCCGAGCCACCATCTGCTGCCTCCCAGGATGCGCACCAGCAGAAAGCTGGGATCAGGAGCTAGAGGTGGACCTGGCCTCCGGCGCTCTGAGGATTATCTGCGTGTCTTCCTGGTGTCTTAACCACTCGGGCAAATGCCTGTGCTGTATTTTAGTTTTAGTAAGCCCGTTTCTTTATGGCTAACACTGCAAGCAATATAAATCCTTCAAGTCTATTTCATGGAATGGGCAGGAATGCTCACATTGCTGTCTTCCCCTCCCCGCCTCCCGTTTCAGAGCCTGGCACAGAAGCTTGGAGCTCTCTGGTCTGACCTCATTTTCAGCAGCCTCCCTCTCTGCACCTCTCAGAGCCAGGAAAAAAGGGATTGAGTGCAGTGAATTGGCAGAAAAACGCCCAGAGCTCTGTCTTCTATGACATACTTCTAGTACCCATAGTCATCAATGGAAACTTCCAGAGTAAAAAAGTTGGCGATGGATCGTTGTTGGCTGCTCCTCCAGCAGGGTCGCCCCACCGCTCTACATTATCCTTATCCAGGGGTCTTTGTTCCCATGACAACTGGCTCCGCCCCCAGTGACAGACTTGGGTTGTGTGACCTGGGCTAAGGCAAATCAATGTCCCGTATCCTCCTGGCTCCAATGATAGTCACATAACCTAAGCATGGCTTTTCAGAGAACACGGGGACAGTCACCGACAGCATCCTAGATGCTCCAGCATATAGCCTGAGTCTGCTTTGCACACTAAAAGGGCATAAAAAACAGAGCTTGACACCTTAGTACGGTGTGGACAGTAAGGAAGTGGGAGCGTGAGAGCCAAGCAGCCCCCTCCCCAGAAAGCCAGCGAAACTCAATGGAAAGCCCCAGGCACGGCTCCCCATGTCCTCGCTTCTTCCCCAGCGCCCATCTCTTGGCACCTGCTGGAGAGCTGCTAGGCAAAGATTTATCACCGTCACTTTTAGCTGGCTTTACTCTCCTCGTGAAGGCAACATCAGAGTTAGGATAATATTTGGATGTTGAAAAATGGATACTTTAAGCCATTATTCATGTACATTTGCAGTGGGAAGCCGCTGCAGAACAAACCACTGTGCGGGGTTATTCTTAAAACAGTGCACAGCATGTCATTAACGCCTCTCCCCCCACCCCCCGCACCCGCCCCTGCAGCAGTGCACGCTGGGATGCCGCACTAAGATGACAGCTATGAACCTGCTGCCTGGGCAGTGTGGTGCAGGGTGCAAGGGTGGAGCACACGGAGTCAGAGGAAAAGCAGAACCCATTCAGCTACTGCCATAGAGAGGCAGGCAAGGGGCATGCCCACTTACTGCCCCCTCCTCAAAGATGCCACCGCAGCCCCAAGGGGCACAGTCAAGGGGACCCAGCCCCGGGGACAGCTGTCCTTCCAGTAACTGGATCCTCACACCGTCAACAGCAACTCGCTGCAGGGACCTAAGTGGCGAGGCAGCCTGTGGGTTTTATTTATTTATTTATTTATTTTTGACAGGCAGAGTGGACAGTGAGAGAGAGAGAGAGAGAGAGAGAAAGGTCTTCCTTTCTCCATTGGTTCACCCCCCAATGGCCGCTGCGGCCGGCGCATCACGCTGATCCGAAGCCAGGAGCCAAGAGCTTCTCCTGGGCTCCCATGCGGGTGCAGGGCCCAAGCACTTGGGCCATCCTCCACTGCACTCCCGGGCCACAGCAGAGAGCTGGACTGGAAGAGGAGTAACCGGGACAGAATCCGGTGCCCCGACTGGGACTAGAACCTGCGGTGCCGGCACCACAGGCGGAGGATTAGCCCATGGAGCCGTGGCGCCGGCCAGCCTGTGGTTTGAACTGTAAGGCTCTCCAGGACAAAGGGTGTGCGCCAGAGCAAACAAACCAACCTCCTGCAGGAGAGCCACAGAGCACCAACAGGCAAAACTAGACTCAAAGGCTCTTTCATGCACCGTGGGGGAACAGTTCCCCTTTTTCGTGATGGCGGAGGTGGCCACTCCAAGGCAGGTTTAGCCGCAAAGGCGGGGCGAGGGCAGGGGCTGGGCAACCCCGGGTGCACCAGCCCAGCAGCATGCGCATGCGCCCTAGTGTGAACCATGCTGTCAGGCTTCGCAGTAAGACACCTGGAATGAACGAACTTCCAAGGGACCTGTCACTCACATGTCAAGGCCCCTGCAGGGGGGAAGCTGGCTGGAGAGGAGGGGACAGGACCCCTGCAGGCAGGCGGGGAGGGCCAGGGTGCTGGCTAACTCTGCTGAGGTCAAGGGAGGGGCTCGCATGCCTTGGAGAACCACACCTATCTCAATCCCCCCACCTTAAGACACCTCTCCCCGAGTTTCCCTCCAGCCTCTCGAATCCAGAGCGCCTCCCACCCCTGGTGAGGCACCTGCTATCCTTTGTCTGCCTCCTGTCATTCCCACCCCCCTATGACTATGGATCCCTTGAGGATGGGGCTGCCGGGCTCACTCCACCTCCTAAGGCTCCGGGCACACACAGCTGGCCCACGGCGGCCATGCACCCTGCCGAGCTGCTGCTTCCCAGTTCTCAGTCTATAATCCCAAGAAGCAGAGGGTACTGCGCTGTCACTCAACGGAAGCGCAGAGCAGCTGTGAGCACAGACCGCCCACGAGAGCTCCCAGCCACCTCCAGTGGCAGGTGGGATGGAAGGGGAAGGGCTAAATGAGCTCATCTGCATGCAGTGTTTAGGAACTGGACCATCAGCTGGTATCTGCACAAACTGGACTTACTTTCAAGAATGTACAGTGGCTTCTACTTCAAAGTAAGGCAGCAATGTCACCTCTGGGGGTTGGGGATGTGCAGTGAGTCAACTGCCACCTGTGACACAGGCATCCCACATGAGCACTGGCTCTGAGTCCTGGGAGCTTTACTTCCCATCCAGCTCCCTGCTAATGCACCTGGGAAAGCAGCAGAAGATGGCCCAAGGGCTTAGGCCCCTGCCACCCAGGTGGGACATCCTGATGAAGTTCCAGGCTCCTGGCTTCATCTTGGCCCAGCCATGGCTGTTGGGGCCATCTGGGGAGTGAACCAATGGAGAGAAGCTCTCTCTATCCACTCTCTCTGTAACTCTGCCTTTCAAATAAATTAATAAATCTAAAGACAGAAATTTTTTTTTAAAAGGCAACGATCAACCAAAAGAAGGCTCAAATACAAAAACTCATTTAACAACAAAGAAAGATGCCAGGGAGAAAAAAGGCTTAAGAGCATGACTTTTATTTTTTTTTTCCCCAAAAATCCATAATAGGACTGCACTGTGTTAACAACATACAAAACCACTGGGAAACCTGTTCACTTGGCCTCAACCCTCAGATACATCACCCTCTTCTCCCTGTCCCTACCCAGAGTGCCTTCACCTGGGTGTCTCAGAGCTCAAGCAGGCAGGATGGACAGCCAGCCCCAGCAAGCCCACAGGCCCTTGCGTGTACCTGGCTCCCCATTCAGGAACCTCCAGGACGGAATCCCTCCAGGCAGCCGGCAGACGGGGAGTAGAGCTCCCAGGAGAAGAAATTCTTCCCGAATTTGCAGTCAGTTGCCTTGTGAGTCTGACTGTTGGTCCAGGGCTGCATCTGGCCCCTGGTGCCCCCTGGGGCTCCCTTTCCATCCTGGATTGGGACCACCCTGGAAGACAGCCAGCTCCTCCTCACCAACCCCTATGAGCCCAACAACAACAAGGGCTGCAGAACCACGCGCTCCCTCAGTAACAGGATGTGGCCGGCGTGGGGCTGTGCTCACACCAGGGATAGATGTGAACACAGTCAGTGCCAAGGCTGCCACCACGGCAACCCACCCTGGGGGCTGCCTGCCTGTCCTCCTCCCAGCAGGCCGAGGCTCCTCAGCAATTAACACCCATCCAGGCGGCCCCGTGATTAATTAATTCCCATCCACACAGCTAGGGCTGAATCACGATGGACGGATGGGAGCGAGATGGAAATGCCCTGACTGTGGGGATACGTCACTGTGATGAGACAGTACAGTCGATCTCATTATTCACAGATGCTGCACTTGTGACTTTCTCTACTCACTAACATTTATTTGTGAGCCCCGCGTCAACACTCGAGGCCTTCTTACAGTCTCTCACGGACACACACAGGTCAGCAAAAACTCCGTTCGCCCATGCACATGTCCCCTGCTGAGGTCGAACGAGGGCACAAGATGGCATGCACCCATTCATGAAAGCATCCGTGTTGTCTTGCAAGTAAACCTGTTGAGCCCCATCAAGTCTTATCTGCGTGTTTATTTGTAGCAGCCTCTGCTCTCGACGGGACATCAGAGAAGGCGCTGCATTCTTGATGGACACAGGACACCGCCATTAATTCCCGCCTCCTGGGTCGGTCTCAAACTTGGCTTCTAA